ATCGACTCCCGACAACTTTGAATCGCTACTAGGTCCGATATCATTGTCTAACTACTTAGAAGTTAATTTATTCAAATAGCTTCGCTGCATTTTCTTTCAAATACCTTTTTAGTCAAATGAACTAGTGTAATACAACGTGCTTCACTAACTAATCTCTAATGAAATGTGTTGTCTAAAAAAATATATTTTATCATCAAATTTGGTTGATTTTGTCGATTAGTTGCTGTAAGTATGGGCTAATTCGTTATTGCCTTTTTGACTCAAATTTTGAGTTTGAAATACGCAACAGGGACGTAACAGTAACACTCATCTGTCTAACTATATATCATATTCGTATTGTAATAAATGATTCCTAACACAAGTGAGCATATGGACAAAAATTATAGCCCAACTGACTCCATTACTCACAGTAACAGCTAGATGAGTGGAAGTTAAAATATACTTTGTACCAAATAATTTTATTTTAAAATCATTTATCATGCAAATGCAGCATAACGTCCTTTGCCGGTACTCTCTTAGCAAATTCTATCATTTATATTGATTTTGTGTGTACTTTTATTCCAAGTGTCATACTAGTTTTTGCCATATTTCCCATTAACATAACAAGGATTTAACAGGTATTTTAATATCCGTGGCGCTTCTCTGACATTATAATTATTTTTTTCATCCATGACTATGAAACCTAGTGGCAATATGACATATTTAAAAAAGCTATTTTTGAATCATTAATTCATTTTCAGTATGTGTGTTATCATGGCCACGATCGCGGCGTATCCAGAGCTTATCAAACAATCCCTGGGTGCAGGAATACTCTCTGGATGGGACATCGGTCTATTGTGGGGCGTAATACAAACACTTATTCAACCAATCCACTTACCAGCATGTTTTTGGGAGTTGGGAGGAAACCGAAACAAGGAGAACATCTGTGTGAACTTCACACAGATATTAAACCCAAGCTCAGCCTTAACCCGGGGATCGCCGAGCGCACATGCTGTGTCCGTGTTTGTTTGTAATGATACCTAATGTAATTACAGACTGGCAACATGCCATCACTGCTCTGGGACAATCCTGTTCTCACCTCTGGTTTCTCTGGCACGGGTTGGGTGAGCAGGGTCCAGTGCTCCTGCAGGAGCCAAACACAAATTGATTGTCTTGGAAGCCCATACAGCGTGCCACACAGGCACTGGGGTACGTGCGTCCATTACGGGCACACACTGGAACAAAGTGATCAGGACAGCCACATGGAAGATCTAAGAGAGAGAGAGAGAGAGAGAGAGAGAGAGAGAAGTTGAAACAGAGAAAGTAACAGGAAGTAAACTGTAGGGATGAAAGACTATAGGATCAGTGAAACATATACACTCACCTGTAAATGAGTTGTCTAGACTGGGGCACTGCGGTGGGAAGCAGATGGTTTCTCCAGCATTGCAAAAGCAGGACTTACAGTCCACCTTGAAAGATGCTCCATGACCTTTAAAATGCAAACTGGTTCAATAGGAGTGTATGGACTGTATATAAACATCTAAATCCTTTAATTGCAAGTGTTTAACATTTACAACACTGACTCCTACAACACAGTATAATAACATGTCTCCTTTCTGTCTTGTCTAGTGCAAATGTAAGCGACATTTTCAAACTATTTATTAACTGCACAAGAAAAAACGCTTTAGCAACCGAATGAAAAAGGAACTGATACGTTAACCGAAGGTACAGCATGGCCATGTAAAGCTTGCTGCTAACTCTCTGTAAAGATGTTGGGATGTCTGTGCCACAAACCTGCTCCAGTGTTTCCTTCTTTTAACGGCACCTCACGCAAATACCCAGTATTAACTATGAGATTTCAATTTCCTTACATAATGCAGTCGTAGGCCTGGCCCGTCCAGTGCCAAAATGAGGCCATAGCCGTGCAGTGCTTTATTAAACAAATCTTTCAGAAATAAGCCCAAAATAGCCAATCTACTCATAAAATAAGCAAAGCATGAAAGTCATTCAGGTTCAAACCGACCACCATTTACAATACGATACAAAATGAACAATACAACACAGATGCTTATAAATAAAACTCTAATCTTCGATTAGAGACTGGCAATTACAATACATATATACTTCTCTTAGGGCAAATCCTCATATTCATGATAATTAATTCATAATTTGTTGCATATTTATTTTACATGGTTATGAGTGTTGTGTTTCCAGCACAAGATCGTTACTAATTTTCAGAAATGGTGGTTATAAATAATACCAGCGCCTGCAGGTTTGATATTCCGGTTGTTTTTGTGAGTGTGACGACACTACACCGCTAGGCGTCAGCCTCAAAAGAAGTACGTTATTTGAGGCAGTCAAATGCGTGAATCAATCATTTACGGCTCGTGCCAAAGAAGGGCAAGTCTCTCTAAAAGCTCCACTGTGACATTTCAGGCTGTCCAAAAGGAGACCGCAGGAAGGAAATTCCAGCTTGTGGTGGACTTTACTCTTCTCCTTTAATGTAATGTTTTGCTAGGGGATTCTTTCAGATGAGCGAGACGGCTGAGGGCTGCATTTGCTCTAGCGTTTTGCTGTTGTTGTTTTTATTTTTTTCTGTTTTGAATCCAAAGAGAACAAAAGCCTTTCTCCTTTTAACCGAGATAATTATTGTGCAATCATCGCATGATTGCTCTCTGTTAACAATTACATACTCGTTTTTCTCAAAACATTCACCATCTTGACAAAATTTCTGGGTTGGCCGATGCGTCACGATCTGAGTAAATAAAACAAAACATCAAAACTATAAAGGTTAAGATATAGCGAGTCTGTCACGTCTCACTTTTCCTCTGTCCTCCGACGTTGCAGGTCTTGGTGGTGTCGATGCAGGGCATTTCGGCACAGTTTTCCAGCCGGCTGCTTTGCCCGCAGGTGCATACCTCGTAACAGCCTACCTGACCGCTGCGCACTGGAACCTGGATCCGAGCCTCCATGTGCACTAAGAACTCGGATGCTTCACCCAGTTTGCAGCCTGCCACAGGAGACAGTTCCCAGATTGATTTAAAGACTATACACCTTAACCAGGCGCTGGTGAACAATCAGCTATAAAAGTATAACTGAGAATATACAGATCTTGTTTAAAAAATAAATAAATATTCCACAGTAGTGTTGAATGTTGGACTAATGATATAAAAACCAAGTACCAGGGACACAGAAGTAAGGCAGGCAGTCTTGTCCTGGGTGACAGCCTTTCCTGTTTACTTCACACAGATGGTTGCTGGGACATGGGTTTGGATTACAGGGATGGATCACCTCCTCGATGATGTTTTCAAAAGGACTAGGAGCTGTCAGAGCCAAAGAAATTCCACGTACAGATGAATGTCATTTTTATAAACAGAAGAACAAAGCTGAGGCTGAAGGGTTTAAGACTCACTGAGGTATCTCTGCAGAGGAATGCATCTGTCTGGGTCGTCGGTAGGGGACAGAAGGTCACAAATCTGCTCTGGGGTGTGGCCTTCTCCGAAGCGTGAGAAGTCGCCGCAGTGGGTAAGGATGTCCACACAGTCTGACCTGAAGGCGAACGTGAAATGTTCAAATGAGATCTGAACGATATATTTTTTTTTGCCTTTGTTTATTTATTCATTTTCATTTCATTTGATTCATTTACATGTGATTCATTTACATATGATTCATTTTCAAGTGATTCATTTACCTTTTCTCCTTTCCCTTTCCCAAATATTTCATTGAGAAGAAAATAAATAAATAAATAAATAAAACTCCCCCCTGGCTCATCCTGGCTACTCAATAGCTGTCGCTGGTTATATAAAAATTATAAAACCCAAGAACAGGCACCATTTAAATAAAGTAAACATAGGAATATAAATAGCCAATTGGAGCCGAAGAGGGACACACACCCAAAGTCTCCATAAAACAAGAGAGACATCTGAACGATATTATGAGGGGGCTAGAGTGGGATTACTTTGTTTCAGCTTGGGATCAAATGCATACCAGTTATTTGCCACTTTCAAACTTGGAATAAGATACAACCAGTAACTATGGAAAGCACCGTATAAATTAGAACATAAAAAGGTCTCCATAGAGGATAAGACAAGTATATAATAATTAAAGGTAAAAACTATAATATAAAATCTTGTTTCAAGTGTCTGCTCTAGAGAACGGAAGCACACCACTTCTCTGTGTTCCTGCCAGCCTGGAATGTACACACACACACCGGTACAGGCCTCTGTGTTCAGATGGAGGAGATAAAAGTATGCTTCCTGTTGACTGTTTACACCATAAAACAGCTTCATGCTTGGACACACATTGGAGCTGTTTCTCTGCGCTGTTTTCATCTGTTGTGACTGAGACCATCCCAGAGTGACTCAACAAATCCAGCAGTGATTTTTCCGATCCGGGCTACTTAAATGGTAAACTTATATAGCACTTTTATCCAAAGCACTTTACACTGTGTCTCATTCACCCATACACCAATGGTAGCAGAGCTACTAGCTTGCCATCGGTAGCAACTTGGGGTTCAGTCACTTGCTTGCCATCAGGAGCAACTTGGGGTTCAGTGTCTTGCCCAAGGACACTTCGGCATGCGGAGTCACCCAGGCCGGGAATCGAACCACCAACCCTACGATTAGTGGACAACCCACTCTACCAACTGCACCACAGCCACCCGCCACTTGCCGGTTGTTTCGTTATTCACCTTATTCATATTAACGTAAGGAATCCACTTTGTCCAGAGTCAGACAACACATGTCTGCAGTCTTCACACACACACACACACACACACACACACACACATCTGGAATTCATGGAACAGAGCCACATCGGTGAAAGACTAAAAACATAATTACATTGACTTAGTTTCAACTGACCTACACTAATCAGACACAGATCAGTTGAACCCTTACAAAAAAAGATAATTAAATCTCTCTCTCTCTCTCTCTCTCTCTCTCTCTCTCTCTCTCTCTCTCTCTCTCTCTCTCTCTCTATATATATATATATATATATATATATATTTTTTTTATTACACGCACACGGTGGTGTAGCGGTTAGCACGTTCTCCTCGCACCTCCAGGGTCCGGGGTTCGATTCCCATCAGGGAGTGTGGAGTTTGGACCTTCAGTAAGTTTGTTTTAGGTTTGTACATGTGGTGTGTTGGAAAGCTGGACCCAAACTGGCAATCACTGTATCGCAGAAATAATAAGATCCAGTCATGTTCCATTTTATAGTCTGGGGCAAAATGCACAAACACTGAGAGGCTAGAATGTATGCTCTTCTGTGGGTTTGGGTCCATTTCATCCTTAGAGGGAGGAATCACTGCAGAGCAATACAACGTTCTTCTGACTGATCAGCTTTATCCCAAGATAAAATATTTCTATATGGGAATGGGCTCTTCCAGCAGAAGAGCTTTACAAAAACACTTTTTAAAAATTTTAATTTGACACTCGTCTGCATGTACTTGAAGCCCACACACAGTGCTGTGAAAAAGTACTTGCACCCATCCTGATATCGTCTGCTTTTGTGTATATCTCGTACTAAACTGTTTCAGAAAGTAAAACAAAATCAGTTTTTAAATGATAATGTTATTTGCCGAAGCAAAAAAATGATTCGATATCAACCGGGCCTGTGTGAAAATGTATTTGCCCCCATAGTTACTAATTCCCCAAATCTATGAAACTGCATTCATAATGGGATTCAGCTGGACAAGACATAACCAGACCTGATTACTGCAAACCCTGTTCAATCAAATCAACACTTAAATAGAACTTTTTCAACAGCATGATGTTGGTTAAAATGTCTTATCCAGTAACACACGATGCTAGAGTTGAAAGAAATTCCAGAAATGATGAGGAAGAAGGTGATTGAAAAACATCAGACTGGGAAGGGTTACAAAACTATTTCAAAGGCTCTGGGATTCCAAAGAACCACAGTGAGAGCCATTATCAACAAATTGAAAAACTTGGCACAGTATTAAACCTTCCCAGAAGTGACCAACCTTCCAAAATTCCTCCAACAGCACAGCAAGTACTCATCCAGCAATTCACAAAAGAGCCAAGGACAACATCAAAGGACTTACAGGCCTTTCTTGCATTAATAAAGGTCACTGTTCATGACTCCACTATCAGAAAGACTATCAGAAAGCAAAAATGACATCCATTGAAGAGTGGCGAGGCGAAAACCACTGCTCATCCAGAAGAACATTAAGGCTCGTGTGAATTTCCTCAAACCTTTTGGGAGAATGCTCTGTGGATTTATGAGTCGAAAGTGGAACTGTTTGGAAGACAGTCTTGTTACAGCTGGCATAAACCAAATACAGAATTCCACAAAAAGATCATCATACCTACAGTCAAGCATGGTGGTGGAAGTGTGATGGTGTGGGGATGCTTTGCTGCTTCAATAAATGCTTAACTTGCAATAATTAAGGGAAACATAAATTTTGCTCTCTACCAAAAAATTCTAAAGGAATCCTAAAGGAGAATGTCTGGTCCTCAGTCCATAAGATGAGACTCAAGTCCAACTGATTTATGCAGCAAGACGAGGATCCAAAGTCTAGGAGTAAGTCCTAGTCCTAGAAGTAAGCGAAATACTGATCTCCAGTTATTGTAAGCGTTTGGTTGCAGTTATTACTGCTAAAGGTTGCACAACCAGATTTTAAGTTTAAAGGGGCAAATAGTTTTTCACATGGATGATGGGTGTTCTATACTTTTTTTTATGTTTTGGCTTCAATAAAAAAATTAAATAAAAACTGTATTGTGTGTTTATTCAGGTTGCCTTTGTTTTATATTGTATTTTGTTTGAAGATCTAAAACTATTTAGTATGAGATGTACACAAAAACAGAAGAAATCAAGACTGGAAGACATACTTTTTCCCCACGCTGTAATACACTTTAACAAAGATACTAAATTATACTGTACATTTTCATAAGTAAAACTTGGTTACTATATCTAGACAAGGGCATGTGTCGCTGAAACAAAGACTGAAAGTAAATTACCACTGTGAATGGAAGTAGCTTAATCACTGTTTGCAAGCCGACAATGAAAATATTTATTAAGACCTAGCGGCACACCAACTGTTCTCATGAAATACATATAATCATAAGCTGTATGTATAAGCTAGAACAATGCTACTCATTTATCTCCATAGATGACTAGTTAGTGTGCGAGGCTGTTGACTTTTCGACTGAGTCTATACACTTTCGCTTCAGTATCTTGAAGACATTTTTGTGTCTGCTCCTTTCTAAAATTTAAGATCATCAAAATGACCATGAATTACACATAGCAAACCTTGCACCCGTGTCTCTCGAAAGTCTATAATTGACATGCTGTTTGAAATATCAGATGTATCGACAGTAACGAACTGGACAAGACTTAGCAAAATGTCAATAAGGGACGGTAAAACATGACAATTTTCCAAGGACGAACGCTGTGACGAACTTGAAACTCGAGCACGCATGTAAGAATACGTGCTTGTCCACAAACTGTCAAGTTCTGATTGCTAGCGGACAGAGACAGTGATGCGTGCTGGAACAGGTCAAAAGAGGAGGGATGCTGATGGATGACGGAGAGGTCACAGCCTGTCATCACTCACTGACATGGGCTTTTGTCCTGAGCTGCTGGAGTCGGGGTGTTTCTTGTCAAAAACATGAGCATGAGCATTCTAAGCCATTCTCCAGAACTGTTGCGTGAGGAGGACTAATCCTCACAGAACCGGAGTGCAAGTGAGTGCCGAGGGACGGGCTGCTGATCGCCAAATGAGAAAAGCTTTAGCACAGACGGTAAACACAGGTGTGATAAAATGTGAACAAAACAGCCAGTGTTGCTCTCGTGTGTGTGTGTGTGTGTGTGTGTGTGTGTGTGTGTGTGTGTGTGTGAATGAAACTGTCATAAAATGTGAACAAAACAGCCAGTGTTGCTCTCGTGTGTGTGTGTGTGTGTGTGTGTGTGTGTGTGAATGAAACTGTCAGGTGGAACATCTCAACTCTGACATGTCAATTGAGGTCAAACAACCTCAGAGCCTGGATTACACCAGCAATCAGCCAACGTATTCCTTACTCATACAGTCAACTCCAAAATTTTTGGCACCCTTCATGAAATTGTGAAACATGTTTACAAACAAATATATAATAATAAATAAATGATAAATATTGCGTGCAATTAATTAGTGCAAAACACTGGTTTCAGTCATTCTAAAGTATTTAATTAAGCTAACTAAATGATTTCATTCTATACTTTATATAGAAAAGTTATTTTCTTCTTGAGGGCAACCAGGTAAAACTCCAGGTAAATTCTTTCATATTTTGCTCATTAGCAAGGATTTCTTTAATTGTCTGATCACTGAACATGAGTGTTCACGATTTTAGACTCTCTTTTCTGCCATTAGTTAAGGCAATAACTATATAACCAGTGCACTTTATTTTTAGCAAAGACAGCAGACTTGAACTATACACACTTACTGGTAACTCCATTTGTAACGGAATACATTGAACAGTGCAATTCCCTGTCAGTGTTACTTTGACTTAAATTTGTTAATACAGTTCTGTGAATGCAGTTTAAAACAGAAGCCATTAAGTTAATACGTTAAAATCAAATTAAAGTCAGCCTGAACTAAACAAGTAAAAGAAGAAACAGGACCAATATGTAGAAATTGGAAGTGGAATACACACTTGCAGATGACGCTGCTTCTTGATTTGCTGTAGCAGGGTTTGATTTGGAGTGCGCAGGCCACAGCCTTCCACATCTCCGGCCGGCACTTTCTGATGTCCAAAACTGGAATGTTCATCAGAGGCATCTTTATGGTTCCATTGGACCAAAGTTTGATGTCGTTCATGGCACCCTGGTCCGACTGGATGTTGCAACTCCGGAAGAGCTCTGTTGGCCTAAAAAAGAAGAAGTCTTTTTTTAAGTTAGAGAGTGAAACACTAACGTACACTAACGTACTTGTCTGGAACACCACAACACTCTTCTGAAGGCTTACGTTCCCTCATGCAGTGCCTACTCAGCGAGGCATGAGGTCCCTTTCCAGAACCTTCAGACTAACTGTCCCTCAGTGGTAGGATGAACTTCTGACCTCAATCCGGACAGTAGAATCTGTTACTATCTTCAAAAAACAGCTAAAGACAGACCTCTTCCGTGAGCACGTAACTAACCCCTAAAACACCAATCCCACTTTATCCTAAAAAAAGTACTTTGGCTCTTACACCTCTACTCTGCACACTTTACTTCTCTAGAACTCATTTAAAAGATCTTATATGGTAGCATTACTTGTATTGTTCTCCGCTTAATATATCGCTTTGCTTGTATTTCCTCATCTGTAAGTCGCTTTGGATAAAAGCATCTGCTAAATGAATAAATGTCAATGTAATTTCATGTCTCAGTCTTTAGCAAGTATCCCACTCCTGACAATGACTGTTTACTATCCAGATTAAAAGATGTCTTTGTCAATGGTAATGGGATGTCTAGATCTTGGCCAGACTGAAAGCTCTTAGTACATACTGTAAGTGGGCCAGAAAAAGTCATATGTAGGGGCCAAATCTAAGCAGACCAAAAGCAGACCAACAATATCTTTTAAAGTCAGCCCAAACTGGCTCAGAAATGGATCCCCAATGGATGTAACCGATCATTTGTTTTTCACTGGGTACCGCTTGTCAGAAACCTGCCCCGAAACCACACACTATTCAACACTGGCAGAAGGAGCGCTCAGAGAGACCTGTGATTTTTTTACTATCTTCACCAGAAGATTTTGGGGGGGGGGGGGGGGGGGGGGGGAGATTTTTTGAACTCTGACCCCAATTTCCTGGTCATTTCCTCACATTGCGTATATAAGCACACAATTTTCAGTTGCGAAGTCGTGTAAATTATCTAGTAGCAAGTTCCGAGCCCTGTTTATGCCTATTAGCCTTGAATATTTCTAGATCTTCTGGCTGTTCATTTGACTACTCTTCGGATTATTCTCTGATTCTGTAATTTGGTGCCCGACACTTTTACATGGTACATTTACATGGACAGCAATAATCCAATATTAACCCGATTAAGACAATACTCTGATTAAGAAACTACCATGTAAACAATTTTTAATTACCTCAATCAGATTAAGGTCATACTCGATGTAAACACTAGTCGAATTAATACATGTGGAGTATTCCTGTTTTAGTCGCATTATCAGCGTGTATTACAGACATGTAAACACCTTAATCACACTTTTAACGTCGTGTGAGAATTTTCATCGCATAATGTGACAAGACACATTCACACACAGCAGTGCTCAACCGTTTTACAGCAAATAAGAGAGCACGGCTGCGTCCGAAACCTCTTACTTACCTACTATAGGCCTGTAGTAGATGAAACACATGTATCTCTATATACTATATAGTACAGTGCCTTGCGAAAGTATTCGGCCCCCTTGAACTTTTCAAACTTTTGCCACATTTCAGGCTTCAAACATAAAGATATAAAATTAAATTTTTTTGTGAAGAATCACCAACAAGTGGGACACAATTGTGAAGTGGAACGAAATCTATTGGATATTTTAAACTTTTTTAGCAAATAAAAAACTGAAAAGTGGTGCGTGCAAAATTATTCGGCCTCTTTACTTTCAGTGCAGCAAACTCACTCCAGAAGTTCAGCGAGGATCTCTGAATGATCCAATGTTGTCCTAAATGACTGATGGTGATAAATAGAATCCACCTGTGTGTAATCAAGTCTCTGTATAAATGCACCTGCTCTGTGATAGTCTCAGGGTTCTGTTGAAAGCGCAGAGAGCATCATGAAGACCAAGGAACACACCAGGCAGGTCCGTAATACTGTTGTGGAGAAGTTTAAAGCGGATTTGGATACAAAAAGATTTCCCAAGCTTTAAACATCCCAAGGAGCACTGTGCAAGCGATCATTTTGAAATGGAAGGAGTATCAGACCACTAGCAAAAACTACCAAGACCTGGCCGACCTTCTAAACTTTCAGCTCAGACAAGGAGAAGACTGATCAGAGATGCAGCCAACAGGCCCATGATCACTCTGGATGAACTGCAGAGAACTACAGCTGAGGTGGGAGAGTCTGTCCATAGGACAACAATCAGTCGTACACTGCACAAATCTGGCCTTTATGGAAGAGTTTCAAGAAGAAAGCCATTTCTCAAAGATATCCATAAAAAGTCTCGTCTAAAGTTTACCACAAGCCACCTGGGAGACACACCAAACGTCACACCAAACGTTGAGAAATGGCTTTCTTCTTGCCACTCTTCCATAAAGGCCAGATTTGTGCAGTGTACGACTGATTGTTGTCCTATGGACAGACTCTCCCACCTCAGCTGTAGTTGTCTGCAGTTCATCCAGAGTGATCATGGGCCTCTTGGCTGCATGTCTGATCAGTCTACAACTTGTTTGAGCTGAAAGTTTAGAGGGACGGCCAGGTCCTGGTAGATTTGCAGTGGTCTGATACTCCTTCCATTTCAAGAATATCGCTATCATATCGCGCCCTTTGGTGTTAAAGCCTGGGAAATCTTTTTGTATCCAACCGGCTTTAAACTTCCACAACAGTATTACGGACCTGCCTGGTGTTTCTTGGTCTTCATGATGCTCTCTGCGCTTTCAACAGAACCCTGAGACTATCACAGAGCAGGTGCATTTATACAGAGACTTGATTACACACAGGTGGATTCTATTTATCACCATCAGTCATTTAGGACAACATTGGATCATTCAGAGATCCTCGCTGAACTTCTGGAGTGAGTTTGCTGCACTGAAAGTAAAGAGGCCGAATAATTTTGCACGCACCACTTTTCAGTTTTTTTGCTAAAAAAGTTTAAAATATCCAATAGATTTCGTTCCACTTCACAATTGTGTCCCACTTGTTGGTGATTCTTCACAAAAATTTTTAATTTTATATCTTTATGTTTGAAGCCTGAAATGTGGCAAAAGGTTGAAAAGTTCAAGGGGGCCGAATACTTTCGCAAGGCACTGTAGGTACGTACGCGGTTTGGGACGCAGCCCACGGCTTCAAGCAGTTGTCTATTTGCACGTACAGCATGACAAATAATTAACTACACTTGAAGCGTTAATTATAAAAAATAAAAACACCCAAAACTGTATACGGTACCATAACGAAGACGAACTGTACGTTGATTCTGGCGGGAACGTTGGACGGTGTAGCACGGTAACGTAATGACGTGTGCAGTTAATCGAACTAAGTTCTATAACATGTAAGACAGGAAGATGAAAGGAGTATTCTAAAAGCGACTCATGTCAACACCTTAATCACAATATTGTCTTATTCAGAATAAGGTCAATAATTAGATTACTGCTGTCCATGTAAACGTAGTCACTGACGTTCCCTCTAGAATTTCACGTATCAACATACAGTTAGTCAGAGTATTGTATTAATCGGGTTAATATTGGATTATAGTTGTCCATGTAAACGCACTGCGTGTTAGCATTTTGAATTGTGTATTGCTCATTAAAATCGTCCTGCATATGACACCTTCTCATGATTCTAGCGCATTACATTATTAAATCCTACCTCAAAGTGTGAAACTATGCCTATTGTGCTTAATTCTTTGTGCTTCGAAAAAAAAGGACATTCCTTTAGTAATACAGACCAAGACAGATCACTAGGGTTATTTTCACCTATACAACATTTAGTCAATTTGAATTGAACCATAGTGGATTTTTCCTGTTGGTGAGATTCTTTAGACAGGTGAGAACACAGCAATCACACTTGGTTCAGACCAAAACAACATTTACATTACATTTAGATTTATTCACTTAGCAGACGCTTTTATCCAAAGCAACTTACAAATGAGAAAAAATTGCACTTTTGATGTTTTCAGGTTTCACTGGTCTTCTCAGATGATTTGGAGGATTAAGCAAGTGGTATTATAACACCCAAACAGGGACTTGAACCCTGGACCCTCAGATAAAAGTCTGATGCTCTACCTACTAAGCTATATGAGCACTACAACAGTTCTGAATGAGGTTTGATGTGGTGTATTTTGGATTACAAGCAGCATTTTTGTAGATGTGAGCTTGTAAACTGGCCCGTGAATCCCCAACACAGCCCCAAATATGCCTCAGTCAAAAAGTTTTTTTCTTTTTCAGTTTGTTGAATTATGTGCAGTGTGAAACCAAACCAAACCAATTAGCAAACAAACCAAAAATATCAATTTCACTGTGAAAGTGCCCTAAAATGATCATGATGATTAAGATTAAATTAAGTCAGCAGTTCAAGCCCCAGCACTGCCAAGCAACGATTTTTGGGCACTTAACCCTCAACTGCTCAGTTGTATAAATGAGATAAATGAAAGTCGCTCTGGATAAGGGCTTCTGCCAAATGCCATAAATGTAAATTTATCCACAACCATTCGATGTATGGTTCAACATGCAGCTGATACTAGCTCTGACACTAGCTTTCCGTATTCCCTACTGCATTTCATGTCGATGCACATGCTGACTCGAACAGCATCCCCACAGGCGAAATCAACCCTTTCTCTCTGCATCTTTCGACGACGAGGTGTGTGCAGGGTTTCCTGGTACTGCTCAGCACTGCAGACGAGCACAATGCTCCACAACCATATTTGTCCCCAACAGTTTTTGTGTTCAGTTTGTGCTCTGTGCCACTGCCAAGTCCCCGAAGCAACAGCTTTTGAAATCTGCAGGGGTGCCCACCAGTGCAATTCTCAATAGGAAACCTTCAAAGGAAATCAAAGCCAGGGTTTGTTTGCATGACCTTTGGATCCTGCCGTAGAGGCAAGGGTGCTGTCATCTTAAAGAAAGATCCATCAACCCTGTCCAGTCTAAACAACACACAGAATAGTTTGGATTGCTTTGAATGCCTGAGGTTCTGGGGGATGTGGGCAAGGATCCTATAAGTAATGATATCTTTGACAAGATAAAACGTCTAAAGCAGAGGGAATAAATCTTAATAGCTTACTTCGTCTAAAACATTCCCATAGGTGAATTCTAGGTAGATACATGCACTTTCAGTTATTTTAGGATTTGAGAACTATGTAATAATTGCATGGCAATGTAATAAATGCATGACTACTCACTGTCAATGTCCGATAAAGCACATGCCACATGTAGTAAAACAGTGACTGTGTAGAGGAACATACAAACATCATACATCAAAGCATATGAAAGTGCATCATTTACAGTATGCATATAGATAGTTCTAATGGGAACTGAATGGTACCATAATAATTACTCAACAATTTAGCATGATTTAGAATAGTATCACTATATTGTATTAAAATTGTAATAGTGTTAATATTGTTAACTTGTTCTTACTAATCATCAAATCAACTAACATAACAACTAACTACATAACACTGTTTAGTTATCATGTTCTCTTTTAGACTGGTTAGCTAACTGCAGCCATGGGAATAACTTCTGTTTACCTATAGATGGTTAATCTGTTTTTTTTATTCATGTTTGAGGCATTTTGTCATGTTCTTGAAATATTTTTTTTTTTAATCATAAAATTTTTGTAAGATCATTATTTCTTTCATTATATTATTCCAAGTGATGATTAAATTTATTTCCAAATTAATTAATTGTCATAATTCTCTTTATTTCAATTAATTAGCTGTCTCTCCTCTATCACATGACAGCTACCAACTGGGCAGGTTTTTTGAATAGCACAGTGTTCTTGATACACATGAAACCCTCATAGATTTATATTGAAATTGAACTTGAAAATTTCCAAAAAAAGAGAAACATCGTCCTAATTGGAACACAGCTCACGATTTTGTATTGATAACTCTTTATGTGTTATGTGTATGTTAAATACTGTAATATATACCTCGTCCCAGCTAGTGGTCCTGGAAGGTAATGCTAAACAGGATCTCACTGTAGAATCTACTGGTTAAGTAGCGATTTGCTTTCTACTGTCTATTTTGGTCATGTCTTGGATTCTTGGATGCATTTTTACATTGTAAGGATTTTACAATGACACGAATTTGTTCTACATGATTGTTTTTACAATTTTTACATCCATGTCTGTCTATATTCGTCACCAACAGCCACTGAAAGTCATAAAAGAAATCTGTCCTTTCAAAGAACCCATGAGTGTGCCAATTCACCAAGCCACATCTGAAGGAAAATGCCCCAGGGTCCTACCATCTGACAACAGTTCATCATCAAACCATGAACATAAAGATGCTGTTGCAAGCTCAATAAAATTGTATTGGCGCGCTCGAGACTCTGGCCCTAAAACCGTTGGGAGGGCCAAAGGGAATAGTTGTGCTGGGTGATGTGGAGGGCATGCGAACCCACAAACAATTTAGCATGGGCAACAACCACTCCCACCATAATAACACAGACAATGCAGACCTACATCTGAGGTGGTGAGAACGAGAGACCTGACAACAGACCGGCCATTACACAACTGACAACAAGGAACTGGCTACGGGTTATAATTCTCTCCACGTTATGTGTATTCATTCATTCATTTTCAGTAACCACTTTATCTTGGACAGGGTAGCAGTAGATCCAGAGTCTATAGCGGGAACAATCGGCATGAGGTAGGAACATACCTTGGATGGGCAATTTAAAATCAGAGCAAAATGATCAAAACAGTACAAACTCTTCCTCTGAGAGGACCTTAACTTCTAATGCTTAAATAACTTCTTCTCTTTCTTTTTTCAGTGGCTTTTTCTTAGCCCACTCTAGTATTAGAGCTAAGTGATTTGGTTTCCACGACAACAGTGTGAATACATTTAGTTCTGGCTGCTGTAGCTGTCCCTAGAGCTAATATTGCTTAAAGTCCCTAAAAACATAGATTATGGTTTTAAAATATAGTTACATGTATTTATTTTTTTAAGTAGAAGCCTATGCATGTTGAGAGACAACTAAAAAAAATTCACTGTGAACTGGACTAAAAGTAACTCATTTGGACGAACCAGAACTCTGGCCTTCTAGATTTTTTGGAAACAAGCTGGGGATTTTTTATTTTTTTTTGGATTTGTTACCTGTTGTTAAAGTTGGTGCAGTAGGTGAGATCTTTACAACCCAGCTGGCATGGTTCCCTCACATCTGCCAGGCAGGTGATAAGATCTGTTTCCACAGGGCTGTACTCACAGACCTGGTCAAACTCCTGCCACGTCTGAGTTCCCCAGTTGGTGCTGATCTCCTGGCACATAACTCTGATGAAAAATAAGTTCCACAACTGCATTCAGAGGCGCAAACACATGTGGGCCTGTCTGCTGATCTGCTTTGGGTTATGCTTTTCCAAGCAAAATGTCACACTACACAAAACCTAGGTTAAAAAATGAGACCTTGAGCTGACCTGCACTGTGAGGTATTCGCTTTGGAGCAGCAGTGGAGCTTGGCGCAGTCCATCTTGGCTGTTGGGGAGGTCTCTGGGTCACTTTTGGCCGGAGGGTGAGCACTACCCAGAAAGCACTGCCACAGTGGGTCCTGGGGGAGGGGCTGGCTTCCGCACTCTGCAATCAGGCCCTCCATGATCTCGTGCTCTGTGTTCATGGTGCGCAGGATCCGTTTACACGCCGTCTGGCAGTGTGCCTCCTCCGCTCGGTCACAACAGTACAGGCCTGGAGGAGCACATATGCTTATGGTTAGAAAGCATGACAAGAAGAATGCATAGGGATTTACTGGCATGGTGGAAAAGGTAAATGTCCTGATTAGGTAACAAGCATTTGATCTATTGCTTCTTTGGATATGACATGGTTTAAAATTGCTCATCAAACAAGTGTAACATGAACATCAACCATGTTTTTGCAATAACACACAAAGCTTGAAACCATAACAAGCAAACGCATATCAGAGAGTAACATCTTGAGGAGGAAATTTATTATGACTGGTAAATTAGGTAGCTGGAGTTCATATGCTTTCATTTTGGGTAAAGTAGGATCATATGATTATAGGAAATTTCAGTCTGGTGATTTAGATGGAACTAAAATCGTTTAGAAAACTAGACGTTTCTCATTTACATGTACACAAAAAAATGGCCCAAAGTATGTGGACACCTGACCATCATACCCATATGTGCTTGTTGAACATCCCATTACAGAATTACTCCAGAATTACAGAATTACTTTGTGGTTATAATAACCTCCACTCTTCTGGAAAGGCTTTCCACTAGATTTTAGATTGTGGCTGTTGGGATTTGAGCTCATTCAGCCAGAAGAGTATTTGTGAGTTCAGGCACTGCTGTTGGATGAGGAGGCCTGGGATTCAGTGTTCTTCCCAAAGGTGTTCAGTGGGGTTGAGCACTGACCATTCAAGGTCTTCCACACCAAACACTATAAAACCATGTCTTTACAAACTTCATTTTGTAGGGCCATTGCCATGACGGAGCGTGTGTGTGTGTGTGTGTGTGTGTGTGTGTGTGTGTGTGTGTGTGTTTGTGTGTGTGTGTGTGTCCCAGTTTCCTTTCCAGAATACAAAGACATCCTATACATATGTGTGCTTCCAAATTTGTAGCAACAGTTTGAGGAAAAAACATGCGGATGTGATGGTCAACATTTGGCCGTATAGTGTATCAAACCCAGTAAAATTATAGCATTTTAAAGTCTAGTTTACCCTGAAGGTGAATGCAACATGCGGTTAGCAAAGGCACAATGCAAGTATGTATACTCAACTTGTGTTTTATTTGGTTAAATCCAAGAATCACTGTCCAGGGCTTTTTGAAAAATTCTAAAATAAATATGGGAAATGAGTTTTCACTGCTTAGCAACATCATCCACATCAGTCTCTGTCTCATCGCCTGAGGTAAAAGTTACTCATGGCATTTAAACACAAGCCTCATCGTTGTCTTGTCACTCGGTTCAAACTAACATCAGTGGGAAAATAATCTCTGATTAATTCTGTCAGTTCTGTTAGCTAAATTAATTGTTGTGATTTTTTGTTAGATCATTTAAATGATGATGATGATGATGGTGCAGGAGCACAATGGACATTTTCGCCATTTTATCTAATTTCAAACAGAATTGATT